TATATATATATATATATATATATATATATAGATAGATAGATCTCATAGAGGAAGGGAGAGGGAGAGAGAGGTAGAAACATCAATGTTGAGAGAGAATCATGGGCAGCCTTCTGCTCGCTCCTCCCTGCCCCCCTATTAGGAATCGAGCCAAAACCTGGGCATGTACCCAGACCGGGCATTGAACCGTGACCTCCTGGTTCATAGGTCAACACACAACCACTGAGCCCACCAGCCGGGCAGAAAACACGTTTTTAAATTGCAGTGAGACCTGAAAAACTCTGCCCTTCAGCCTCTCGGAAGTTAGTTAGCGAGTGAAGAAAGTGCTGTCAAGTGACCACTTGTCCTCTGACTAGCTCCTGGGTCCGGTTTCTAGGCGCATTCTGTCTCGGTAGGTTACCTGGAAGTCCTAGTGCTCTCCAACTTGCTTTGGGAGGGAATGTGTGGAGGAGTCCAAGCATAATTACTGCTTAATGGCCCAAGGGAGGGGCCGGGGAGATCCGGCTGCTCAGCTCCCTGCGTGGGAAGCTAACCCTGCGTGGGTGAGAACGGAAAGCTCTTCTCCAACTGGTCCGTCCGCTTTAGAGCATGTAGCCATTGGCCTCCTGTGGGGCCTGCAGGCAGCTCCGTCTTCGGGAACTGGGAGCTTCGTTTCCGTGGGAGGAGGAGGAGGCACAGCGGAGACAGCCAGTGCTGACCCTGAACTCACTGCACAGCTAGCTCTGTTCTCAGGGGCTACCCAGCTCCTCCTGTGGCCCTTCTGAGGCAAGCACTCTTGTTTTTATTTTTAAAATATAGTTTCTTGATTTTCCACAGAGAGGAAGAAAGAGGGATAGAGAGTTAGAAATATCGATGAGAGAGAAACATCGACCAGCTGCCTCCTGCACACCCCTCACTGGGGATGTGACCGCAACCAAGGTACATGCCCCTGACCGGAATTGAACCCGGGACCTTTCAGTCCGCAGACCGACGCTCTATCCACTGAGCCAAACCGGTTTTGGCTCTTCTTTTTTAAAAACAATTATCTTTTTGTTGAAAGGATTAAAGATGTGACCCCCCATTAACCTCCTCCACACAGCACCCCCCTACCAGGCCTTCACCACACTATTGTCTGTGCCCCCGGATTATGTATAGATGCATATAAATTCTTTGGTTAATCTCTCCCCACCCACCCCCACCTCCCCTCTGAGATTCCACAGTGTGTTCCACGCTTCTAGTCTCTGGATCTATTTTGTTCATCAGATCCCACCTATGAGTGAGATCATGTGATACCTGTCTTTCTCTGACTGGGGTGAGCACTCTCTTTACCCCCATTTTACGGATTAGAAATCGAGGCATAAACCAGATTAAACACCTTGCCCGAGGTCACAGAGCTTTCCGGGGGCAGGGCTGAGATTTGAACCTCAGTGTAGCCCGAGAGCTTATGCTCCTGACCATTCTACCGCCCTGGCTTATTGGGGAAGCACCCAGCCGAAGGTGAAAAAACTACCCATTGAGCTTTCTTAATTATGGAAACATAAACACAAGTCTAAAATTCGGACCCATTCTTCACGGACAAAGGCCTTTAGTGAGAGAAGTAGGGAAAAAGCACAAGGTGACAGAAGGATATGAGAGCTTCGACTCTCTCCCCCAAAAAGCAGGACCCAGGCCTGGCCACTCCGATCTGCCCATCTGCCAACACACCAGGACTATTTCCCGGCATCCGACCCCACTGCCCGCTCCGGCGAGTGGCCTATCCCGGCCGAGTCCCGATGCTGGGACTCAGTGAGCACTGCCTTCAGAACTCCCTGAGGGTCCTCAGCAGAACTGTTGCTTGTAGAGATGCTTCGCAGAAAAGCATCTTGAGACGGACAGGTGTGGGGGACCTGGCCCACTGCCCCTGCCTTTGAAAGACTGACCCTGCGCCTGGACCATCCCAGGCCCCGGAATCCCACACGGACCACACCTGCGTCACGGAAAGCCCAGGATTTCAAAAACGTGCTTGGTTAGGGAATTCTTTGTCCCTCAGAACACCCACGAGAGCACCGGTAAAACTCCCTGTGGAAGCCGTCTCAGGGCGAACACGTCAGTGGGGACCAGCAGGACACAGACAGAGGGCCAGAAAGCACAGGAATGAGGATGGTTTGAGGCGGGAACGTGGAGAGTGCGCGAATGGCAATATCCGTAACGCTGACCATAGTGCTTCTTCCATACTGGCCCTAATTAAAAAATAAATAAATAAAAAAATAGCCTGCTCTATTGCAGGGTACAAGGGAGCAGGACAGAGCTGCAGGTCTGAAGATAAGACAGAGCTGCAGGTCCGACACATGGGCACCCGGGTGCGGTGAGGCTGCACGTGGGGTCAAGGAGCACTGAGGGCTGGGAAGAGCGGACCAACAGGAGGAAGAGGGCAGAAGGTACCCTTCATTGGACTTAAGAGCTAAACTGTCTACAGTGTTCTAGATTTTAATTTCTTTTTTAAAATGTTTTTTTAAAACAGCGGAAGAAAAAGAGGCCAGAACAGAATATGCAACCTCCGTGCAACATTGCAACAGACATTATCATGTTTTCTTACTTCAAAGGGAGATGTGATTTCTTCATTGAGGCTCATAAGGAATAATAAGGGGGAAAAGTTCTAGCAAAGGAGTGTGGACACTCTGCTGTTTTATCTGTAAACGCAGCCATAAGATACATCTGCGTATGTATCTTATGAAAAATACTTTCCCCTTTGCTTCAAAGTGTCTCGAGTTTCCATAATCTTTATCAAGAATCTCAGGATGGCAGGGGGTTGATCTGGGGGAAATTCTCCATCACCAGTAGTCCCTATCCCATCACGACAATTCATTGTAAACTAAATTCAGCTCAGGAGTGCTGTGGGGATATTACTTCTGAGAATATATTATTATTATTATTATTAAAAATGTTTTATTGATTTCAGAGAGGAAGGGAAAGATAGAAACATTACATTGATTGGCTGCTTACTGCGCGCCTCCTGCTGGAGATTGAGCCCACAACCCAGGCATGTGCCCTTGGCCGGAATCGAACCTGGGACCCTTCAGCCCACAGGCTGATGCTCTATCCACTGAGCCAAACCAGCCAGGGCAATGAGAATATATTATTATTTGCAAAGATTGTAAAGTAGGAAATGATTTGTGTTTGTAGTCATCATTTACTTCTTTGAATCGTTTTAAATGGGCAGACAGGGAAGTTGCTAAAAATGCTCTAAATGTGAACCAATTAATTGGGGCTGAGATCGCGCACACACACAGTGATGAGAAGCAGTAAGCAAAGCCCATCGGTCAAGGCAGTGGACTCAGAGTTTGTGGTGGGCAGGCTGGCCCCACAGGGACTTGGGGGGACAGGGCAATGAGGGAACGGTGGGTCCCCTTAAGCTTCCCTTGGTTAATGAGGGCCTCGAGCAAGTCATGTTGCAATGAGCAGTTTCACTGAAGATCTGCCATGAGGGCCCTACATTTTTGGCAACTTCTGAATTTCAGCCTCAGGTCCCAGGAGGCCTGGCTATATTTCATTCCTGGGAAGTCCCAAGTCTATACAATAAATCCAGCTATATCCCTCCTTTTTTCAGCTGGTTAGAGTAGCGCGCTCTCTCTCTCTCTCTCTCTCTCTCTCTCTCTCTCTCTCTCTCTCTCTCTCTCCCTCCCTCCCTCCCTCCCAGAAAAATTATTTCCCAGAACTGGGTATCTGGTGATCAATGGAGAATTTCAGTACAATCTGGTGCCCTCGGCCCTGCCCCTGGTAACTGATATGCCTGGGCACTTTTTCCCTTTAGCTATTTCATGGAAATTGAGGATAAAGCAGAAAAAGAAACAAACTAAAGCAGTCATTACGAAAAATAATATAACATTTTCAGAACAATTGGGGAATTGAGGCCTGAAGTCCCACGTGAACAATATAACTACATCTTTTATGTTCTTTCTCAGATTTTGAAAATAAAATCTAGGACATCCATGTATATGGCATGCATACTAAACAGAAGATAAGATATACCCAAGTTGCTCCCTTTATCAGTATGTCAAAAAGGATAAAGAATTACATAAATTGGTAGCTTATTCAGAATAATAACAGCATGGTGATTTCAACTGAACAATTTTTAGAAATTAGAAAAAAGTGGTCTTTGCTAAATGTTCTACTATCGTGTATCATAAATGTATTTAAATATTTTAAATGATTAAGAGGGGGAAACTACTTGCTAAACAAAATGAAATTCGCTATGAATACACATTATTTCAGTTTAAACGATGCATTCTTGAAGACTATTTTATACTTCTTGGGAGAAATACTAAAACTGGGATATGTATGCACATGTTATGCTTGATCTAGTTGTTTCCAGACAATAACCATCAACTTGTTTCTATTTCAATGGTTTCCAAATTCACAGAAATTTAGAAACATGCCGTTTCCATAGCAGCAAATAGAGAGTAAAAATAAAAGGACCTTATTGATTGAACAAAGGTTTAGAGAATTTGTCCTCCTTTTCAGCAGGGATTTTTTGCTCCATATTTAGTCTTTTAGCAACATCTCACATTCTCTTTCCTGAAAGCATTTAGTAAATCGTATACATTTTAAACGTAACAAATATTTAATTCTTAATGTCAAAGGGATGCGAACCTGTGGAGTCGAGATCAGGCACCAAAGAGTCTAAGTACATTCCATGTCAGCTTACCATATAAATAAAATATAAATTTTGGATTACGGATGCTTTGCGATGAGATTCATTAAGAAGTAACAAGCACAGCCTAGCCGTTGCTGTTACTGGGAATTTATTAAGACGCAGGCTGGGAATGGGGCTTTTATGCACAGCAGTCAAGCTACCAGAGGCAAGGTTCCTCACGGTGCATGTGGCAGCATCACAGCGGATAACTGAAATGGGTAATATACTGCTTAGCATGCTAAGAGGACAGGAAATAGACCTTCTTCCTTCCTGTGTGTTAGGCTGTGTGTTTTCCATCAACGGTCTGATCTCTTAACATTTCCATTTGTCAACACGTAGGAAACGGGCTCACCTGTAACCGACATGCAGCCTAGTGGAGCGACGAGAGTGACGGGGGCCAGTCCGTAGGCCGCGAAGTTGCCTGCCTCTCCCAGGGCCATGAGGAGCGCCCCTCCCCACCACAGCGCGCTCCTGACGGGCGGCCTGGCGTGCTCCTGGCGCGCCGCCGCCTGAAGATGAGAGTATTTCTAGAAGTAAATCAGAATGCAAATAAGAAGACATTTAGAACTTGTTTGAAAGGTGTTGGCCTTACGAATTTGCACCGTGGCCCTAACATTAAATATTTGCCAGGATCCCTGCAGAGCAATGGTTACATTCGTGTGTTGAGGTCAAAATAGTCGCAGCGGAAGTGATTCAACACCGATGTAGCATTTTATAGTGCAAAGGGTCTTCTCACCCATGAATATTGCTTCATTCTCATAACAACTCTGTAAAATAAGCATCAATACTATCAAAAGTGGAGGTGTGCGTGAAGTGGCTTTTTGGTCCACCATCAAAACACTTATTTCATTATTTTTTTTTTTGTTCTCATTGAACTTCATTTTACTGCGTCTCAAAATTCTGTGATGGATTTTTGGTCAAGCTTTTTTTCCCATTAAAAAAAAAATACTGATTTTAAAAAACTAATCATTTAAGAATTGCCACACACACATACACAAAAAAAAAAAATCCAAATGGCCCACAACACATTCTCCTTTCCTTCTGAAGGCTTTACGAACCATGAATCGTTCACCAGTCTTTGCCTGTTAAACCCGAATGGCCAATGGAGACAAACAGTCCTGAGACTGTCTCCCAGCACCGATGAAGAAGGGGGTGGCAGGTAGGGGGATGCCATGCATTTAGCTTCTGAGCTCTGCCAGCTCCAACTGCCTTCTTGCCCACTGCTTTGGTGACATCCACAGCAACTGTCTGTCTCATGTCAGGAGGAGAGTAAGAGAAGCTCTCCACAGACAAGGGCTTGCCAGGAGCCATACTGACAACGGCAGCATCAAGATCTCTGGGCCTCTTCCAGCTTTCCCCCAGAATGACAATCCATCTTCTCCTTCAGCTCAGCAAATTGTACAAGCAATGTGAGCTGTGTGGTCAGCAGCACCAGTGCCTCGTCAGCCATGATCTGGCCTGGGTGGTTCAGGATAATCACCTGAGCTGTGAAGCCAGTTGCTTCCACAGGTGAGTCATCTCTGTTGCCACCAGCCACACTGCCATCCTTGACAGACACGTTCTTGACATTGAAGCCCTCCAGGCCTTCAGGAAGAGTTCCATTCAAAGCTTCACGGTGCATCTCCACAGAGTTGGCTTCAGTTGTAACACTGCCTGGAGCAACAGGTGGCCGTGATGCTGGATCTGAGGACACCAGTCTCCACTGGGCCCACAGGGACAGCACCAACACCACCAATTTTGTAGACATCTGGAGGGACAGACTCCAGGGCTTGTCAGTTGGACCAGTTGGTGGCAGGACCCAAGCCAGAGCTTCAAGCAGCATGGCTCAACTGGCATTGCCAGCTTTACCAGTGACCTTTCCATCCCTTGAATGAAAGCATGTTATGTTAGCACTTGGCTCCAGCATGTTGTCACCATTCCAACCAGAAATTGGCACACATGCTACTGTGTCAGGTTTGTAGCCAATTTTCCTAATGTAGGTGCTGACTTCTTTAATAATTTTCTCCTATTTCTTCTGGCTACAGGGCCACTTAGTGGAATCCATTTTGTTAAACATCAACAACCAGTTGGTTCACACCCAGGAGAGTATGCTCAGAGGTCTGCCCATTCTTGGAGATGCCTGCTTCAAATTCACGTACACCAGGGGCAACGGTCAGGACAGGACAGTCAGCCTGAGATGTGCCTGTAATCGTGTTTTTTATGAAGTCTCTGTGTCCTGGAGCATCAGTGATGATCCCATAATACTTATTGTTCTCAAATTTCCACAGGGAGCTATCAGTAGCGATACCACGTTCATGTTTCAGCTCTCAGCTTCTCCAGGACCCAGGCATACTTGACGGAGCCCTTCCCCATCTCAACAGCCTCCTTCTCAGATTTTCGATGGCTCTTCTGTCAGTCCCATCACACCTGAGCAGATGGCCAGTAGTGGTAGACCTGTCAGAATCTACATGTCCCATGACCATGATGTTGATGAGCCTTTTCCTTTCCCAGTTTGGTTTTGATTTACGACATCTGTGTTCTGGTGGTAAATCCTTTGCTCCAAAACACTTATTTCAGAATATCGAAAAGTTCAGATGCCAAAATAAACATAATTGAAGTTAATAAATTACTAAAGAAAAACCTTTTGAAAAGAAATTCAATTTATAAGTCAGAGTAGCAGTCACAATGAACATGCCATGGCAGATGCTTTGGTAGCAGGGGTTATGTTGGGGGAGTCTTACTTATATCTGGCTTGAGTATTTCTCTGTACTTTGAACATATAAATTCCTGAAAAACAGGCCATTGAAGAAAGCTCCATTTCCTTATTGATTTTATGAAAACTGAACTTTTTTAATTGCAAAGTATGTACAATTCTAGATTACTTTTAAAAATGTAAAGACAATAATAAAAGTACTAGAAGAAAACACAGAGCATTAAAGAAAATCTTGGCTTATGCCAAGACTATGAATATCTTTCTAAGAGTGGTACAAATTCATAAGCCACCTACACACCTTGCCTAGGGTATACTATACTATCAAGAGGACCACAAAAGCATTTATTTCTTTTAAAATCAGAAGAAAACATGACTGTAATCCAGTTGGATTAAATTTCTTTTTATATTGGTGAGTTCATAAAACATAATTTTAATATTTTTAATGGAGGAAGAGCCCAAGAAGGCAAAAGTGCCCAGGCCCATTAAAGTCATGTGCTAGAAAAATTCAGAAATAGGAAAACAAGCTCTTCTTACCTGAATATTCAGGGAAATGCTGATGACCAAGTTTCCTAAAACAGCCAGCAAAACTCCATAAAGGTGAAACTGAAAAAGAAAATGTTTTATTTAAATGGTGCACTAAATAGCATTTGCAAGATATTTAGTAAACAAACAAACAGCAAAAAAAAAAAAATAGGTTGGTACATTTATTCCTTTGTTCATTCAGCAAATATTTACTTGGCATCCATTTGGGAGGGTTGTTTGAAACATGAATAAGGACTTTATTAGGATTAGTAGCCCATCTGTACTTTCTCAGACTCTCAGTAGCGAACATCCCTTAGTCCTTCTTTTATATTGTCATGAGTATCGTTAGGATCTATAAATAGATGGCAGATTCTCTGAGGAAAGAGAACCATGTGTCAGGCTTCTATTGGGTCTTTGATATCATCTACTATACAAAATCAGGGGATTGAACAAAACTTGCTTGGACATATGTACAGTGGTTTAAAACAAGAACTATATAGGTTAGAAAATTATTTCTTTTGCATTGCCCAAGCTGTTTACTACAGATAGTGCATCTATTACGTGATGACTTCAAATGATACATCAGCAGCTCCAATCTAAATACAAAGGTATAATATCTTCTAGCATTATAAATTGCTATGATTTAAGGAATTTCCCCCCTCGCTTCAACTTCCAAGGAGTTGTTTGAATTTCAAATGAACATTACAACCATAAGGAACCTTTTTCAGAATGCAAAATGTCTTTGAAGTGTTAGAAGTTTATAGAAGCTGAAGTGAAACTCAGTATTTTGAAAAAAATGAAGCAAAAAAAGTTAAAAACCCATTTAATAGTTGATATATAATATCCATAGTCTTTGATCAGTTAAGAATTTTCTTTTCCTAATATAGGCAGTTGGCAATCATTTTGATCACTATTCCTCATGGGGAACAATTGTATCATAATACAGTATGCTATTTCCATGATTTTGATTTCCATTTAAATGCATTTGGCAGCAATCAGGAAAATAAAGATTCAGATGAAGTTTGGGATTGAATGAAAAATTATGAAAATCTCCCCTAGTATTATAATAAAAGTAAAATGATAAATAGAAATAAAAAGCACGGCAACAAAAGAAAAAAACAGATAAGTTGGACTTCGTCAAGATTAAAATCTTTTATGCCTCAAAGGACACTCTTGACAGAGTAAAGAGACAACCGACATGTAAGAAAATATTTACAACTCATATATCTGATAAAGATTGATATCTAGAATATATAAAGAACTCCTATAAGTCAACAACAAAATAAACAATTCAATTTAAAAATGGGCAAAGGACTTGAGTAGCTATTGTTTCTAAGACAATATAAAAATGGCCCATAGGCACATGAAAAGATGCTTAATAATCCTAATCATTAGGGAAATGCCAATTAAAACCACAATGAGCTATCCCTTCACACCCATTAGGATATCTTAAAGAAGAAGAAGAAGGAGGAGGAAGAGGAGGAGGAGGAGGAGGAAAGAAAATAACAAGTGTTGGGAAGGGTGTGGGGAAATTGGAACCCTGAACTTTGCTGCTGGGGATGTAAAATGGTACAGCTGCTGACCTCACACCATGGACAAAAAATAACTCAAAAGACCTAAATGTAAGGGCCCAAACTACAAAAAAACTCAGGAGAAAACATAGGAGTAAATCTTCATGAGTTTGGACTTGGTCATGTTTTATTCTTACTGATAAAACATCAGAAATATAAGCAACAAATGAGAAAATATTTGGACCTCATCAATATTAAAAACTATTTTATTTCAAAAAACACTATCAAGAAAGTGAAAAAAACACATCATAAAATAGTAGAAAATATTTGTAAATCATATATCTAATAAAGGACTTGTATCTAGAACACATAAAGAACTCTTACAACTCAATACTAAAAAGACAACCCAAATAAAAGTGAGCAAAGGATCTGAATAAACATTTCTATAAAGAAGACAAATGTTTTATAAGCTCATGAAAAGATGTTCAAGATCATCAGCTATCAGAGAATGCAAACCAAAACCATAGTGATATACCAGCTTGACACCAAGTAAGATGGCTAACACAAAAAGCCAGATAATAACTAGTGTTAGCAAGAATGTAGATAAATCAGAACCTCAGAACATTTTATGCTGATGGAGACATAAAATGTAAAAGCACTTTGGAAACAGTCTGGCAGTTCCTCAAAAAGTTAAGCATGGCAATCCCATTTTATTTATTTATTTATTTATTTATTTATTTTATTTTATTTTAAATATATTTTTTATTAAATTATTATCTGTGTACACATAGATATTGCTGTACATGTAAAATAGTTCACTAATATGTTATATTCATTACATGTTGAAATACTACATGTTGATATACTATTGTGCATATGCTAGATTAAATAAAATATGTTGTTTAAAAAAAAAAAAGTTAAGCATGGACTTTCCATTTGACTCAGCAATTCCACTCTAGGTACATATCCCAGAGACATAAAAACATATGTCAATACAAAAACCTGTACAACAAGCATTCATAGTAGCATCTATATATATAAAAGCCTAAGCAACAGGCCAACCTTTTGACCAGAAGCTATGAGGTGCACTGACTACCAGGGCGCTCAAAACAGGAGCTGCCCAGCTGCTGTGACGTGGCAGCTGCAGTTTTCGGTTGATGCACCTGTAACCAGAAAGAAGGGCGCCTGATTCCGGGGTGTGTCACCCGAGAACCACCCTCTCACAATCTGGGATCCCTTTGGGGATGCCAGAGAGCTGGTTTCGGCCAATCTCTGGAGGCCAGGTCGAGGGACCCCACTGGTGCACGAATCCGTGCGCCAGGCCTCTAGTTATTCATAACAACGCGAAGTGGAAATGACTCAAACGTTCATCACCTAATGAGCAAGCAAAATGTAGTACATTCATACAATGAATATCATTCGGCAACAAAAAGGAATGAAGCACTGCATGTATGCTACGGCCTAGGTAAGCCTTGAGAAGTTTATGCTAAGGGGAAAAAAGGCTAGTCACAAAGCCCACATATCCTATGACTCCATTTATGTGAAAGGTCCAGAACAGGCAAATCTATAGAGATAGAAAACAGATTTGTGGTTGCCTAGGGTTGGGAAGGATGGGAGGTTAAAGAGTGGAGGGTTTCTTTCTGAGGTGATGAAAATGTTCTAAATTATTGCGGGGATGGCTGCACAGCTCTGTGAATATCCAGAGAATTGTACCCTTTAAATGAGGAATTGCATGGGATGGGAATTATATTTTAAGGAAGTAGTTACAAAAAATAATTTTGAAAACACAAAACTTTTACATCTTTGTTTTTTGCCCTGAGAAATAAAATGGCACAGATGTAGCTATCTGTATGTTAGTCTCTTCCTGGCTGCAGTGTGGAGGGTGGACCTGCAGGAAGCAAGAACAGGGACCAGGAAGACCAATTCCAGGAAGGAGGAGATTACTTCAGGAGTTCAGAGAAGTAGGTAGGGGCAGTGAAGACAGTTAATTACACCAGGGCCATGAAGTAACAATATTCACGTTCATAGCTGCCAACGTTGGTGACAACCTGAAATATGCAATGCTTTTCAGATTACTGAGTGGGTTGGACTATCCTTACCACTAATCTCCTTGCCCTTGTATGTAACTGAGTTGTCTGCCACACTAACCCAAGCTGAGTTCAAACTAAAACCCCTATGTGAAAAAGAAGAAAAAAGTTCAGTCAGGAACAGATTTTATATATATATATAAAACTGATTACAGAGAGGAAGAGGGAGAGAGACAAAAACACAAAAGATAGAGATAAAAACACAACATACAGATGATGTATTATAGAATTATACACCTAAAACCTACACAATTTTATTAACTAATGCCACCACAATAAATTAAGTGAAAATAAAATAAAGAAGCCAACCACAAGAAGGACAATGAGAGAGAATCATTGACTGGCTGCCTCCTGCAGGCCCCCAAAGGGGATTGAGCCCGAAACCCGGGCATGTGCCCTGACTGGGAATCGAACCATGACCTCCTGATCTCCTGGTTCAAAGGTTAACTGCTCAACCACTGACCAACACTGGATGGGCAAACAGATTTTTAATTTATCTTGCTTATTGTATGCTGAAAGGTTATTGCCTTTCTTTTCGAATTATTTATTTATGTAAAGTAATTTATTTGTTGGTCCCTCCATTCATCCATCCATCCATCCACTCATCCATCTAAGTCAAGAAATAGTTATTGAGCACCTGCTACAACTATGAGTTCCAACTATGGGCATACAGCAGAGAACAAGTTAGACAGACTCCGCTCTCAAGTAGTTTACATTCCTTGGAAACAGATCAGCAACAAACAAACAAGAACATACATCTAGTAAAAACTGGAAGACGAACACACAATGCCATAGAGGGCGCGAGGTGGGGGCCCAAGAAGTGGGAGTGCCAGGAAGCAGCCACTATGGGGAGAAGGAGGGAAGAGCAATCCAGCCCAGGGAACAGCTCGCTCACTGTTCTGCCTGCAGATTCTGGAGTTTGTGCCCTAAATCATTCCTCTCGAGATATCCAGGGGGCTGGAACCTGACCCTTTTTTTTTTGAGAGGCTCAGAGCAGCATCCATCTTGAGCTACTACGATGGTGCCCGTGTGAAATAGTTTGAGACAAGTGTTTTCCAATCCTTTTTTATGGATGCAAGATTTTAATACTCCTGACAGCTGTGTTTTCCCACTTTGCAGTCACACTCTAAGGCGTTTTCTCCTTGATGGTGTTCTCTCTCTGTTGCTTTTGTTGTTTGTTCGTTGTTTTTTCATTGTCCTTCTTGTGGTTGGCTCCTTTATCTTATTTTCACTTAATTTATTGGGGTGGCATTAGTGAATAAAATTGTATATGTTTTTGGTGTACAATTCTATAATATATCATCTGTGTGTTATATGTGTCCATCACCCCAAATCAAGTCTCCTTCCATCACCATTTATTCCCCTTCTCTTTACTCTCTTCAACTTCCTTTCCTTTTGGTAATCACAATACGGTTGTCTTTAATAATTTTTGCCTATGCGTTAAACACACACATACCCACCCACACACAAACCCATAAACACA